CTTTGTAACTGTAGAAGCTGTGTTATTCTGACTAGATTAACTGTGGGAGAGAGAGAGAGAGAGAGAGAGAGAGAGAGAGAGAGAGAGAGAGAGAATTCAATCACGGTGTCACAACAAGGTTAATGACAGTGAGGGAAGAAAGTCTACCTGACAATGGAACTGAGATGACTCGTAGTTCAATTAAGTTTACCTGAGTCAGTCTCTCTCTCTCTCTCTCTCTCTTTCTCTCTCTGTAGCTCTCTCCGACACAGAACGACAGAAAGACACAGACAGACAGACAGAAGTGCAAGGGACGACACAGTTAGCAGGTGGTAGTAACTCACTGTCTACACACACACACACACACACACACACACACACACACACACACACAGGAGTATTAATTATCGCCATCGTTTTCAAACTTAACTCTGAGCTTCCTGGAGATTAGAAAGTCTTTTAAGAAATATAATATTTTTTATCTTTACGACTGAATAGATCTGAGTTTATGGACAGCACAAGGTTAATGATGGAGTTAAGGACTTAGAAATGTTTAGGGTTCGTCTTTTTTTTTCATAGTGTGTTTACCTACGTCAAGGACAGGTGTGATATATGTGTTTGGAATTTTCTCTCTCTCTCTCTCTCTCTCTCTCTCTCTCTCTCTCTCTCTCTCTCTCGTAATTATTTTCTATTATCCTTATTAACATTCCTCACATGTTCATCCAAAGTACAACAATGGTTTCTCTACTGGGGAAATTTATAATCGCTTGAACTTACACCGGGTACAATGGCTGGCACGTTTTGTGAGACGTGGCCACTCTTTGATTGTTTACTTTGTATTAAAACTCCCGGAATGGCCCTAAGGAACCTCATAATAGTAGTTAGACTAAGGATAAGCATTCCACAGAGTTGCCACATCTCACAAAGCGTACCAGCCACTGTACCAGGTATAAGTGCAGCAGACTGTACATTATAACCTTTAAACCAGAATAACACCTTCACTGCTAATAGGTGTACTAACCTTTTCTTCAGGTATATTTTCCATTATCGTGACAAGAAGGGATAATAAGGGAACGGCAGGCGCTGTTGACTGCCCGTAGTGGCGCTATATGGTATTGTTTGGATAGAAGAATTCCTCGGCCACATAGTTAAGTCTAGGCTGTGAGGATCTTGGCTGGACAGTGATCATAATTTGGCCAGATATGTCTTAAGCCATTAAAGTAAGTCTTCCGTCCACGTCTTAAAAGTAACTTGACACATCTTAAGTAGCCATAAAAGTCAGGCATCGTCCATGTCTTAACTGAGTGCTTATGTTTACAGTAATCACACTCGTATCGATCCCATTGCCAACAACATTCCCGGCCCTGTATAAGTAAGAGTTCAGTTCATCTTGACATTCACAGACCATAAGACCACTTACTTTGTTTATTAGTGATCCTGGGAAGATAGGCTGAGTTTACGTGTGTGTGTGTGTGTGTGTGTGTGTGTGTTTAAATATCTGCGTGCTTGCTTGTATTGACATCTGGTACCTGTAGACTTTCACATCTGTAGAGACACTTGACGTATTTCTGTAGATCCTTAACACCTGACTGTATTGGTCTACAGCACCTGTCTCCTCCACCACCTGTCTCCACCACCACCTGTCTCCTCCACCATCTGTCTCCACCACCACCTGTCTCCTCCACCATCACGTCCTCCTTCACCACCTGTCTCCTCCACCACCTGTCCCACCACCATCTATCTCCACCTCCACCTGTCTCCACATCCTGTCTCCTCTTCATCTGTCTCCACCACCATCTATCTCCTGCCACCTGTCTCCTCCACCACCTGTCTCCACCACCACCTGTCTCCTCCACCATCTGTCTCCACCACCACCTGTCTCCTCCACCATCACGTCCTCCTTCACCACCTGGGTGGAGGAAGGTGGTTGGTGTGGCTGGAGTGAGGTGTGTGGTATGGATAGAAGGAAGGGTGTGGTTTAGGTGGAGGAAGGTATGAGGTGTGGATGGAGGGGGTAGTATGGTGTGAGTGAGTGGATAAACGTGTGGGTGTGGTTGGGTGATTATGTGAAAGATTTGTGAATGCATGCTATCCACTCTCTCACCCCAACACACACACACTCACACACACTATTGCCACACACACACACACTATTGCCACACACACACACACACACACACACACTCACAACCACCTGAACTATACTGTCAGTGTTACCAGAGCAGAACACACCACTCATCCATGAGACTGACAATATGACCGCTAAATTCAATAACACTTCACTTAATCGACGACTCACTCATGAACCAGTGACACAACCAGAACCTCGTCTCGATCCTCACCGTTATGTTCTCAATCATCGGGAATGAAAAATCCTTTGCTAGAGTTAACCCAGTGACTGTATGTGTACCTGTTCCTGCCGTTGATTAATGACATGTTCTTTAAAAGTAAATGACCTGAGTAACTGTACCTGTGTTTGTGGTCGTGGGAGTTCTGGTTCATGGACTCTGTGAAACGTTTGAGTTCTGGTTCATGGACTCTGTGAAACGTTTGTGTCGTCTGGATCTTTCTATCGAAGTTCATATTTTAGAATCGAAATAAATTCTTCAGTGTTCATAAATAAATAAAATCTTAACAGCAACAAAGGTGACCAAGTTTTCACCTGTGTTAAACCGGAATTAAAAAAGTATCCCTCACGTACGAAAAAGATCCATCAGTCACGTCAAAGAAAGAGACCATTGGATCTGACCACGACAGGTATAAATCCTAGATCGTCCTGGAAGTAGTATCATTAGTTATCATTAGTGACTTTGAATCATCCTTGGAAAAAAAATAGTCTTCAATTGAATTACCTCGGATATTATTGATGAACTTCAGAAAGATTTTGTGTGTTGGGAGGAAAACGGAAAATGAGAACCGCGATGGAAATTGGTCAGATTGGTCAGCAAATTGTACTACGGACGTAACGGTTAGCCAGTACGGTTAGCGAGTTTCCCTGTATTCCTGGCATCCCCTGACACGGAGCTACACCATTCCTCAAGCGGGTGTGAGTGTGTGGGTGGGTGAAGTCTGTGCGGCGCTAAATGGCGATTTGAATGTTAGTGTAGGTGATACTGCCAGTAGTGTAAGTGGAGTGGGTGGGTGTGACTGGTGGAGTAGAGTGGGTGTAGTTGGTGGAGTGGGTGGATGTGACTGGTGGAGTAGAGTGGGTGTAGTTGGTGGAGTGGGTGGGTGTAGGTAGTGGAGTGGGTGGGTGTAGGTAGTGGGTGTAGGTAGGTATAAGTAGGCCATATCAACAGTGGTAGTGAGGCAGTAAGTACTGAATCAAGACAACCGCTAACAAAGGCTATTGGTAGACTTGTTGACATAACCGACCTGTGTTTATACTGTCGTGTGTGTGTGTGTGTGTGTGTGTGTGTGTGTGTGTGTGTGTGTGTGTGTGTGTGTGTGTGTGTGTGTGTGTGTGTGTGTGTGTGTGTGTGTGTGTGTGTGTGTGTGTGTGTGTGTGTGTACATTTCTCTATGTATATTTATCCTAATATGTGTATAAATATAAGTAAATACATTCATACATGAGTGAATATGTATGTATATTTGATGTGCCTGTGAGAATGTTTACAAACTTCAATAACATAAACAGACCCCCGTCTTCTGTGAGCTTTACCATCAACACTACTCACTCTCTCACCAGCGTTGATTCACACACCAAGGATTCGAAACTGGTTCATTAGCTGGATTCATTACGGGGTTCATTAGCTGGGTTCATTACGGGGTTCATTAGCTGGGTTCATTACGGGGTTCATTAGCTGGGTTCATTACGGGGTTCATTAGCTGGATTCATTACGGGGTTCATTAGCTGGGTTCATTACGGGGTTCATTAGCTGGGTTCATTACGGGGTTCATTAGCTGGGTTCGTACGGGTTCATTAGCTGGGTTCATTACGGGGTTCATTAGCTGGATTCATTACAGGGTTCATTAGCTGGGTTCATTACAGGGGTTCATTAGCTGGGTTCATTACGGGGTTCATTAGCTGGATTCATTACGGGGTTCATTAGCTGGATTCATTACGGGGTTCATTAGCTGGGTTCATTTCGGGGTTCATTAGCTGGGTTCATTAATACATGGTTATAGGGGAAAATAGGATTATATATTGGTCATGTAATAGAGATATTTGTGTACATAGGAGGAAGAGGAGGGTGATAAAGATGGAGAAAGAGCGTGATAAGAGAAGGATGGGGGAAGAGGGGGAGGACACAGGAAGAAGAGGAAGTTGGTGATACAGAGAGAGAGGAAGAGGAGGGGGGGGTACAGCTGGGTATACTGTACACGCCAGGAGAGGTAGAGAAAGTACAAATACTGTACTCAGTGTTTGTACCTGACATTCCCAGTGAACACTCTCTCTCTCTCTCTCTCTCTCTCTCTCTCTCTCTCTCTCTCTCTCTCCCTCTCTCTTTCTCTCTCTCTCTCTCTCTCTCTCTCTCTGTCTCTCTCTCTCTCTGTCTCTCTCTCTCCCTCTCTCTCTCTCTCTCTCTCTCTCTCTCTCTCTCTCTCTCTCTCTCTCTCTCTCTCTCTCTCCTCTCTCTCTCCTATCACGTGAAGGTTTGAGGAGCTGATGTGCTTCGCTGTAGCACCTTCCTTTGCATATTATTAAGTATGGTATCATTTTTACTTCAGGTGTGTAGGAGTTACCTTGGAGTAGCTGTGTGTTTGTGTGTGTGTGTGTGTGTGTGTGTGTGTGTGTGTGTGTGTGTGTGTGTGTGTGTGTCGACTCCGTGACCTATATACAAAGGGTTCTCGAGGTCTCCAGGACACAACACGTGCATAACTAAGTGTAGGTGTTGTGTCGTGTAGGTGTTATGTCGTGTAGGTGTTGTGTCGTGTAGGTGTTGTGTCGTGTAGGTGTTGTATCATGTAGGTTTTGTGTCGTGTAGGTGTTATCTTAGGAGAAGAAATTACAATAAAAATTATTTGGAAAAGGACAGCGAAGAGGTATACATGCAGGTAAGAGACAGACACACTCACCTGTCTATAGTGCTGTCTGCCACTCCTCCAGCGCTCGTGGGTTCTGTAAGGAGAGATTCCATTTGAGTTTCCTGTTCAGCTCTCACTAAGATGACAAGACTCGATAACCTCTTGATCCGAAACCGAACCAAACCTAACCTAATCTAATCTAACCTAACCTATCCAAAACCTGACCTAACCTAACCTAACCTAATCTAACCTAACCTAACTAATCTATCTAACCTAATCTAATCTAACCTAACCTATCCAAAACCTGACCTAACCTAATCTAATCTAATCTAACCTAACCTATCCAAAACCTAACCTAACCAAGCCCGTAAACTTAGTGTGAAAATTTGGGTTCTGTTCCTGGTGTGTGTTATGTATGAGACGTCATCCACCTTGTTCCCTGTTACATACATCCGTTTGGTAACTCTTCTTATTCTCTCGTCTCTTCTCTTCTTCTTTCCTTTATTACCTTGTTCTCTTTCTTCTCTTTCTTGCTCTTATTTTTCCTTCTCCTTCGTTCCCTTTGACCAATCGGGTGTCACCAATTTTGAAATCGGTGATGATTGGCTGCGGTGAGTTACATCATGATTGGTCAGCGCGCTTAGCTCCTGTTATTGTGGTGTTGTGGTTGGCGCCGCAGTAGTGATCTGTGGTATCTTATTGTGTCAGGTTTATTTGATGTTGTCACCACCACCACCACATTACCTCTCTCTCTCTCTCTCTCTCTCTCTCTCTCTCTCTCTCTCTCTCTCTCTCTCTCTCTCTCTCTCTCTCTCTCTCTCTCCTGGTAGACCTTGTAGCCGATGTAGTAAGGTTCTCCTGCACCAAACTGGAGTCTTCACAAGAAAACAGCGACGAGTCCTACATTAACTTGACCGGTCCTGACGTAATCCCAATACCAATAAATCCTTTTTCAGCTAAAAATTGTCCTAAATACAATAGAGAAAATCCTTCAAATAAATCCTTTCGCAAAAAAGACGAAAGATTCCCACGGTGAACAGAGTCCTATATCTACAGTACACAAAAAGTCCTCAGCCCACACGACTCTCTCCTACACTCCGGAAGGCGTCGACTCTACTCCTACACACCACATCATAGTATTCCAGCTCCTACGAAACTCCCCTCCCCCCTAATACGGCATGACTAGTCCTATGCCTCCTTGACTTTCTCCTAGGCCTGAGGCAGTACTCAGTGCCACTAGAGGGCCACTAACAGCCCACCCGTGGCACTCCTTCAGTTGTGTTTATGTTAATGGCATCACACTGGTGTTTGTCCTCAGGCAGCAACTATTACAGATCTTGGCAGGTTAGGTCGAGCTGGGTTGGGTTATGTGATCTCAACAGGCGAGTCGTGTGATACCGAACAGATCATTCTCGCTGTGGTAGACGCCTGTGTTGGTCTCGGTAAGGTCTCGCTTTCTAGGTCATTGATCTTTAAATTCTACATTGTCTTCGCTTCTGTACCCCTCCACCCCCAAATCGGTCTTTAGGTCATTGATATAAGTCAGGCCATTAATATTAGATTCAATGTATAATTCTTTCTTCAGTCTATCGGTGTATGATAAGTTAGACATTATTCACTTGTTATATTGTTGATGTTTGTGACACACCAGCACGAGTGTAATCAACTTCCCTCTACAATATCTTTCACGACCAACAACACTTAAACTTATGTACAATAAACAGTCACTCAAAAAACTATCTTTACAAAATGGTGTTCAGAAAATATGACCTAATGGACGAAGGATTTTGACAACTCTACCGAGACAACAGGAGTCACAGTGTTCATTTTGAAATTCATCGTCCCCCCCCCGCCCCCCATCCCCCACTCCTTACTCCCCGCCCCCACGCCCCCACGCCCCCGCAAGTACAGATAGTTTTTTGAGTGACTCTTTACAAAGGTGAAGATAAATAAATATTGATAAAAGTTCTTCTCTCCAGGACCCAACTGTAACACCTCCCAGCAGCAGCCGTGGACTTGATATCTCTCCTCAGTCACTCAGGTAAGGAAAAAACTCTTTATACCTCCTCGTTGTATGATAACTCCTGCCACTTATCATAGTACGAAGGGGGGGAGGGAGATGGATGGAAGGAGAGTGGGAAGGAAGGCGGTAGAGTAGGAGGGAGGGAAGGAAGGAAGGAGAGAACGTCCGACTACCCTCCTAACAGCCACGGTAACGTCTACCTGCCTGACCGACCTCTCTACACCTGTTGTACTGTAATCGTTGTGACTTATTCCAGATGGTTTGTTTGTGTTTCCTGTCGTCCACCATCCTTCTTTGTGTAGGGCAATGAGGCCAGGTGCTAGAGGTAGAAGGTAGGGGCGTACAGTGGCAACACGCTGGGGGGCATGAGGAAGAGGGAAGGGTAATAGCGGCAAGTGCTGTACAGGGGAAGGAAGGAAGAGGAGGCAGCAGCCAGTCTGTATAGCCAAGAAAATGTCAAGGGAAACATTGGTTACGTTTTTTCTTACTGCGGTCACCTGTATGTAGGACACAGCTTACTTGTATATGTCAGGGGAACACAATTACCTGTTTTCTCTTTATACAATCCTCTGTAAATGACACACACACACACACACACACACACACAGTATTATAGACAATATCCTCAACAAAAATACAATCAATCACATTATACGATGTTCTAGTGAAGACATATTTTCTTAACTACTACACCCGTGAAAAAATTTATATGTGAGATTCAAACACATAAGTTATCCCAGCAGATCGTGATAAATATAACCCCGACTATATAACAATGACATAGAGATTCATGACCAATTAACACCTTAGTTTCCAGCAGGTGAGTGAGTGTTTTGGTTCATTATCTTGTGTTAAGGTAAAGTAACGCCTTGGTGATGGATGGTGATTTAGTGTCATGATATTATATTATTATCTTTATTTTCTAAGGTGATAAAAGGTTTCGATGTCACTTAGGTTTCTCAGCTTAGTAAAAATAACACGAGAGGCGGATCTAACAGGACCTTCACTTACCTGTGTCAGAAATGTAAACACTACGGTAATGAGAATCGGGAGGTTCACTGCGCCCCATGACTGACGGGAGGGGCGACCCAGGTGACGGTCTCTTCCTCCGTCAGGAAAAACATATCATTGCCTGAACACTGCGCAATTCAGGGCGATTATTATGTGCCTTTTATAACTTCTTTATACACTGTTTATTCTTTCTCGGCCATTACGAACACGGAGAGGGTACGCACGAATATAAAGGTCTTCTGTATAAGTCATTCTGATTACACATAAACGCTACCGAATGTTTTTGTTGCTTGAAAGGCGACCAATTTGAACGATTTAGCGAGATCTTGTTGACATTTGTTGATCTTCCTCGAGGAAAAACAACACAGTAATCTCTTTATTTCATCTCGGTAACAAATGCTTTGCCAACACTCTGTCCCGGTGTCAGGTTACGACCTTCACGACCCGCCCAGCAGGCAGTATAGGGCAACGACTCAGAGGAGCTCCGCCACACCGTGTAGAGACCGGGGCGGGTAACTGCATGAAGGATTACGGGACGACATAATGTGGGGTAGTATAGTGGTGGAGGGGTACACTGTTGCCACGGGTGTCTCGCTTAAAGGCTCGTACCATAAAAACCAAGGTCAGGACAAGTAGTGAATGGCGGTGGGCGTCTCTTCCTGGTGGGAGTAACGCCAGGTATATACTCGTGTGTGTGTGTGTGTGTGTGTGTGTGTGTGTGTGCTGCAGAACTAAGAGATGTTTACACTAAAGTTCGGGTATGAATTTCGCTTACGGTGTTACTTGTCTCTTCCTTACCCACCCCTCAGCTCTCTCTCGGGTCCCTCTCACCTTCCCACCTCCCCCCCCTCCCGACGCACCATAATAAAGAGATATAAGAAAGAGAATGAATGAACTGGTTACACAGATGAAAAATCGCTCAACATAACAGAAAAAATAAGATACTGCAATATCTATTCATCTCAGACCAAGGTTAATGGCAGCCAGATTGCAGATAATTCTTAAAAGTGATCGTTTTGCTTCAAGATCTCGGCTTAACCTTGAAAGTAATTCTATTCTTAAGTGCTTATAGAGATCGTTCGAGTGGCCCTTGAGGTGTGTGTGTGTGTGTGTGTGTGTGTGTGTGTGTGTGTGTGATTAATTACAACACCTCCGGAACTCAGCTGGAAGGGTGGCCGCGGGGGACAGAGTGGGAGAGGACCTGCCTACCTGTGGTGAGGTGCACGTGTTGTTAATTAGAACAAGGGCAGGCGGCCACACACAGTTGACTGTATATTTTCAGCCTTTTGACTTCCATGTTCCTTCAATAAGTCGTATATTATTATTATTATTATTATTAGTAGTAGTAGTAGTATAATTCACACGCACACACACATACTACCACAATATACATATAAATAATAATGGTTGCCCCTCGTGTAACGAGGATGGCCGGCCCTTGGGCCACCTTGGCGTAAATTTTATTTAAGGTGTAGAAGCTACCGCCAACACAACAACCACACCCTGAGTTAACGAGGTGCATGACCCAGTGTTAAGGAATAGCCCGAGAAGACCGGACAACTCGCCAGCTGCACTGGCTAACCATTACCCCGGAACACGATCCGCAAATCAATTGACATTCAGGTCCCCAATTACTGCTGGGTAGGTAGAGGGAAATGGCGTAAAGAAACTTGCCCATAGTTTCACCCTGCCACAATATACACACACATACACACTTTCATTCACTTGCCAACACACACACACACACACACACAGGGGCCGTGGTGGCCGTAATAGCCCACTTCCGGCCTTGTGACCGTCATACATCTGAGGGAGGAGAAGGGGGGTGAGGGAGAGGGGGTGAGGGAAGGGGGGGGGCTGATAGGGCGAGGGTGCCACTAACGAGAGATTTAGAGGGAACAGTGAAGGGAGGGGAGTGAGAGAGGGGAGGGTAGACTTTAAGATGATTACGTGAGGGGAAAGAGGGGAGAATGAGGGAGGGAGGGAGGGGAGTACCGATGAAGGAACAGTAGCTACTTAAGATAGAGTAACAGGAGGAGGAGGTAGTTACCCAGAGGAAG